TTATTATTATTTTAATTCCGTATTTCATGAAATAATTTTCTTTAAAAATAATTAATAAATAGTTTTAATAGTATAGTAAAAAAAAATTAAAATCTTATAAACAATTGTCGTTGTAATAATAATAATAATAATAATAATAATAATAATAATAATAATAATAATAATAATAATAATAATAATAATAAAGTTTTCAAATAAATTATTTGACCACGATCCCTCCAAATTATAAAATTACAATACCCACAAAATTTTTTTAATCAATATAGTGATTCATATGTACTCAAATAATTTATATCAATATTACTTTATTTTTACTAATGATTAAATCTTGAAAATGCGGTATGTCCATTATCTAGAATTTTAATATTAAATTCACATATCTTGAAAATGTGATATGTTTATTATCTATAATTTTAATATTAAATTCATACATATTACTTATAATATTTTATGTACATCTGTGCATGTGCACAGAATGAATACTAGTAGTTGAGTATTATGTACTCCATGAAATTTAAGTTAAATATTTATGTAAAGGAAATTTGAAAGTTTAACTGTTTATTTTTCCATTCAATGAACTGGATTTCTCCATTCATTTCATTTGTGATTTTTAAGATATTGCTCAATTTTGTTTTAATAAATTTAGTATAAGTATGATATAGCCATACTCGCATAGACCGAGTTATGTGTCGAAAGCCCGAACGGGACCTAGATAGGTCGACCTTATAATGATATTCCAGGAGCATGATGACCACATAGGAGACAATTTAAGGAAGTTTACAAGAGCCAAAGACAAAAAAATATTGTAATATCCCGTTTGATTATTGATTATTTGAGGATAATTATTTTATTTTGATTAATTATTGCTAATATTATTTGCTTTATTATTATTATTATTATTATTGCATAATTGTTTGACATTACTTGTCTAAATGCCTAATATTATAATTAAATAAAATCTGTATTATATATATATATTTATCCGTTTGTTTATGAATTTTTCGGATTATTTTCATTTATTGGTATTATTATTATTATTTGAATTAGTTGTCTATATTGTTTTATTGCTCGACATCCTTCCGTTTAGACTTATTATTATTTAATTAGATGTAATCTAATTAATATATTAAGTCATATTATTCGATTTATTCCGTCGTCAATCGAATTGATCGGGAATTCTTGTTATCGCGTATATTTATTTTCGACCCAATTTATCGGAAGTATTTTCGGTCCA